CCGTGCTGGTTGGCCCAGGCGGGAGAGGGAGGTCTCCGGGGTCCGCTGGTGCGGGGCGCGAGGCCCGGGCGGGCGGGACTCTGCGAGGCAGTGGCTCCGTGGGTCTCGGAGGGGCTGGGAGGCTGACGATGCCTTTTGAACCCATGGCGCGGGCCAGGGAGGAAGAGCTCGCCGGCACTCGGAGGCTCTTCGGGGTTCGCCCTTTGCTCACGGTTCTGGACGGAGCCCCCTCTCGCGGGCTCAGTTTCAGCCGGTGGAATAGGGACACCAGGCGTTTTTTTTGTTGTTGTCACACAGCGCCTCTCTCTTCAGCATTGTTTGAGGGGCTAGTCGCAGAAAATGGAGTGCAGGCTACGCTTCGAGCCTCAGAGTGATTTTGCAAATGGTGGTGTTAGCTTATGCTTTTTTTCTTTTGATTGTGGTGCTGGGGACGGCTCTGCCGTTGAGTGACAGCCCCAGCTCCAAAATGGTGATGTGGAAAAATACGATATGGAACCGGCCGAAGTGGAAAACTTGAGGTGATGCTCTTCCCTTCGTTCATAGAACACAGATGTACTTAGTTTTAGGCACCAGGGATACACATCCGGAGATTCAGCTGGTCAAGGAGCCATTCTCTCCCAGAGTGTTGGATGCTGGCCTCGTGTGGGTTTCAAGGGCTCAGAGGGTGGTCCGTTCCTCAGAAGAAACTGGATCATGTGCTCAAGGAGTTGTGAGGGCATTAGTTTAGATTGGAGGACGAGGAAGGCAGGCTTCTCTGAGAAGGTGATGTTGGAATCGAGTTCAGGGAAAGAGCAGGGTCCCAGATAGCAAGCTTGAACATGGGAAGGGAAGGCTTTGGACATGAATGCCCGGTTTGGAGGGAGAGCCTCAGAAAATCACTTTACTTCCAGATTTAAAGCCTTTGTCAGCTGTTGATGTCCTTTTGAAGCTGCCAGATATTTGCTCAGCTCCACTAATACTCTAGTGATCGGCCGGAATACGAAGATGACTAAGACATGGATCCCTAAATATGTGCCCGTTAGTGCACACGTGTGAATTCTTTTCTCCCTATCTCTGGATGCATACAAAATAGAAGTTAACCGTTGTGATTAATAGCTCAGTTTACTAAGCGGTGTGATTTGGGGCAAGTTACTTAGCTGCTTGAGGCTTAGTATTCTCATCTGAACAATAGAACCCTTCTCCAGAATTGAGGGTTAAATCAGTTTATGTAAATAAAGAGCTTATAGTGCCTGGTTTATAGTAAGTATTGAATCAAAAATTACGAAAATTAGTTATCTGTTCAGGACATTGACCTAGACAGCATGGTGTAGGAGCAAAGGCCCTGGATTGAAGCACTGGGATTTGACTACCGTTTTCAGATGGCGTTTAGTGCCCAATCCAAAAGTTTATTTAGAAAGCTTTGGACCCAGTAGTAATAACAAAACTATGGCATGCTTTATAATTTGCAAGTTACAGTAGTGGTAGAAGCCCTTTTCCAGAAACCTTTCTGATGTTTGTCATAATTTTCTTATCCCTGGGCCTTCTAGTTCTCTCTGCTCTTAACTCACTGGCCCACCATCTTTGACAGTGTGGCTTACCATCTTCTCCAGGCCTTTCACCCTGATATCAAATGTCTGCCCCTCATAGTCCTCCCCCACCCCTAGTCATACAGGTCTATGCTAGAGCCTGCCTTTCTCGGGGACATCCTCCTTGGTTCCTAATGCCATTCTAGGACAGATTCTTTATATACTTTTCCTTATAGCTTTTATCTCACTAGGTAATTACTCCCTTATGTGATTGCTTGATTAATGTCTAGCCTCACAAGTACAGTATCAGTTTTAGAATTATTTTGCAAATCATTATGCATCTAGTACTTAGCAGAATACCTGACAATTGTTAATTGATGATATTGCTGATAACTAAGTGATATTGCTGATAACTAAGTACTGCATATTTAGTTGGTTCCTTTTTAGGAATGCTTACTTGGCAGTTGGGTTGGCACAACCGGCAATAAAATGCCCATTATACTTTTCAGGGAATTTGAATTAGACTTCAGTAGACATTCTTTTAACATATTTTTTTTTTTAGAGATAAAATTGATGAATGCTATGATCTCCTTTTAATCTCCTTTTAATTGTTTACCAAAGTGAAAAGCAGATTTTACAAACTATAATGTCAAGTTTCCATTGGAAAATTTGGTAACTAAAATATTTGTATATAACATAATAGGAAGGGCTAGCTAGTATGCAGGAAGCCTCGAATTCCATCCCAACACTGCATAAACCTGGTGTAGTGTAGTAATCCCAGCATTGGGGAGGTGGAGGCAGGATCAGAATTCAGTGTCATCCTTGGCTGCATAGAGAGTTTGAGGCCAGCCTGGGCTACATAAGGTCCTGTGTCCAAAAAAAAAAAAAAAAAAAAGGTACAAATATTTGAAATTAAATAGCAGTATCTTTTTAATAATATTAGTAGTCACAGTTTTAATTCTTTCTTTTGGATGTTTCAAGAGACAGTTTAAGTTAAGCCAAGCAAAGACTACCAAAAAGAGATTGTAATAGGCTGTCCCAAAGTGACTTGCAGCCCAGTTTGTTCTGCACTGTGAATTCTAAAGTTTCCTGAATATTTATGAGGTGATAGAATATTCATGGAGTGAGGTAACCTTTCCCCCCTCCCCAAGTATGGTGGCTTCTCCTTTTGGACTTTCTCTTTCCAAAAGCTGGAGATGTCAAAACCAGAATTCGATTGATACTATAATATCAGATCTTTTGAGGATGTAGACCGTTGCTTCATGTACATGTGTGGGGAAAGTTCTCTGTTACCTTAGTTTCTGATATAGCAAGAACAGCTTGAAGCTTCAAGGCTGTTTAACCACAAAGGGCATTTTAATAGGAGACACAGCTACCAATGTACAGCTGCAGTTTTCCCCTAATTATTTTTTTATCTAACTCCTTGTCAGCCTGTAGTCAATCATACCTTAAAGAAGAGACCCAGCCAGTTGTGGTGGTGGCTCAGGACTTTGATTCCTGTACACAAAAGGCAGAGGTAGGTGTATCTCTGAATTCTAGGCTAGCCTGCTCTACATAGTTCCAGGCCAGCCAGGGCTGTATAATGAGAACTCTGTTGGAGTTGGGGTAGGGTCTGTGTCAATAGTCTCTTCACTTGTTACAGGAGTTCTAGGAATTTTGAGGGTTTTATTGTTTAGTTCTGTTGTTTTGTTTGAGATTGTTGCTTACCTGACCTTTAGTCCCTGGCCCCTAGTTATCCTCTTGTGTTAGCCTCTGAGCAGCTGGGGCTATTGGCAGGTCTTGCTACCATGCCTAGGTGGACAATTTTTGTCTTCAAGGAGCCAAGTGACCTGGTATGATAGGAGTTTGGACTGTGGAGCCCAGAAACTTGAGTAAGTAGCCTTTTTGAGGTTTATACATTTGTAAACTTGGAAAAAGGGAGCCCACACTGAATGGGAGAGAGTGGGGCGAGGATTTGCCCCAATGACTGCAGACAAGAGAGGTGAGCCTGTGGTGAGGAGCTGGCCTGTGTCTTGTTTGAGTGGCTCCTCATACTGAGGATTACCTTTGGGTATTTGTCTTTGAGTTCTCCTATGTGCCATTTGCTCCAAAGGTTGTAAGCATCAGAGTGAACACCAGTATGGTCTTAAATACCAACAGAGACCATCTGTAAAAGGGACCTTTGCTGTAGAATATTATTTTAAGGTGTGTTACTTTTGTTTATGTTACATTTCTTTAACTCTGTGAAGCTGTGTTACTGTGCCTGTCTAAAACACCTGATGGTCTAATAAAGAGCTGAATAGCTGTAGCTGGAGAGCTTTTCTCTCTGGGTTCCACCAAATCCCGCCAGTCCCAGAGCCCACTTATAAATACACAGACTCTTACATTATTTAAACTGCTTGGCCATTAGCTCAGGCCTATCATTGTCTAGCTCTTACTCTTATATTTAGCCCATTTCTATTAATCTATATTTTGCCATGTGGCTTGTGGCTTACTGGTACCTTACATCTTGCTTGTCCTGGCAGTGGCTCCAGGCAGTCTCCCTCTCTGCCTTCCTGTTCCCTCAGTTCTCCTCTCTGTTAGTCCCGCCTATACTTCCTGTCTGGCTACCGGCCAGTCAGTGTTTATTTATACAGAGCAATATCCACAGCAATAGCCAATAGGAGGCAGGAGAAAGGATAGGCGGGGCTGGTAGGCAGAGAGTATATATAGAAGGAGGAGGACTCCAGGGGCCAGCCACCCAGCTACACAGCAAGCCACGGAGTAAGAGTTAGATTTACAGAAGTTATAGAAAAGGAAAAGCCCAGAGGCAAAAGGTGGATGGGATAATCTAAAGTATAGAAAAGCTGGCTAGAAACTAAGCCAAGCTAAATCCAGGCATTCATAAGTAAGAATAAGCCTCCGTGTGATTTATTTGGGAGCTGGGTGGCGGGCCCTCCAAAAAAGAGCCAAGAAATAAACAGACTTTAGCATCTCATCTCAAGTGAATAAGGGGACTGGAGCCTGTCTGGGCCATATAATGAGTTCCAGGCCTGCTACCCTGTTTTGAAAAACAGTAGGAAGTGGTCTTGAAGCTCATTGAAACCAGCCTCACACCTGATAAAAATTCTCTCCGTTTTAGTGTCTTGCTTTATTGCTGATTTCTTTCTTTATATCTCTCTCTCTTTCTCTCTCTCTCTCTCTCTCCCTCTCTCCCTCTCCCCCTCTCCTCCTCTCCTCCTCTCCTCTCTTTCTCTCTCTCAACGCAGTCACATGTAGCTCTGACTGGCCTGAAACACTCAGATCTTCTTGCCTCTGCCTCTCCACTGCTGTGATTAAAGTTGTGTGTCACTATATCCCACTTACTGGCTGACCTTTTTCTTGTGTGTGTGATCATCATCTGAAATTCATTCATATTCTTTTTTTTTTTTTTTTTTTTTTTGGTTTTTTTTTTTTTTTTGGTTTTTTCGAGACAGGGTTTCTCTGTGTAGCTTTGCGCCTTTCCTGGGACTCACTTGGTAGCCCAGGCTGGCCTCGAACTCACAGAGATCCGCCTGCCTCTGCCTCCCGAGTGCTGGGATTAAAGGCGTGCGCCACCACCGCCCGGCTCATTCATATTCTTGTTACACACTATAGGCGATGATTCTTCTTTGGTCTTTGGAGGTTTAACTTGTCCAGAGGCTGAGTTGTCCCTTCCTCATAACCTTTGCCACTTTCTTAGAACCCTGATAGCAGGGATACCCATTCTCATTACAGTTACCCTGAAAGCTGGTGTTGAAGCAGGAGGGACTTTCTGAATAAAGGCATGGCAGCCAGGGAACACTTTCAACTAACATAGCTCACAGTGAAGGAGGTGTATATAGGGGGGGTCTGAGGCCTAACTCAGGATATTGGCATGGGGGATTTGTTTAGGGATATTTCCACCAGGTTCACACCCTGGCATCTGGGCATCTTGGAGAGATGGGAGTGGAATGTAAAGGACAGGAAAGGAATAAGTTAGTGCAGACTTTTCACTGGACTTTATGAGTCACTTCTAGACTCCAGAAGCTTATGTCAATGAAAGTCAGTATTTACTGATAACCCTAAAGGTTTGTGGAAATGTTAGAATGTAAATCAAGAAGAATTTCATTGCAAGAGTATAATTTTCTCTAGTTCGGGTAATGGGTGATGTAGTAGAAGGTGCTGGAGCCTGGAGAACTGGGCAGCTGTTAGGAGAAGGAGGCTGGTGGGATTGCACTCATAGGTGAGGACTCTCCAGGGAACCTCTCCTTGTTTACCTTTACTGCTCTGTCAAGTAATAACAGCTATGCAGGAAATAAAATAGATTCCTACCAAGCCCTGGTTGATTGGATGCCTCTTGAAGTTGCCCAGTGCTGGAAAGTTTCTGTTTGTATTTTCCCCAGGGCCTGTTATTCTACAGTGAATCTGATTGTGTATTAATAGAACATTTCAGAAATGTCTTTATATTACCCATTGTTCCCTCTCCCACACCCCCATTCTGCAGCAACACAAGGTTTTACTAGGTTGATTAGGTGAATACCTTCTAACTATTGTCTTGTTTTATCAAGGTGAAAAGCAGATTGTCACAAGTGGTATTATATCAGTCCTCAGCTTAAAAGGCTGGTGATTAGAATATGTGTATTGACTTACTTAACACAAGTTTTTTAAGAAATGAAATTATTATGTTTTTATGAAGAAGTACAAGATAGCCCCTTATGGGGTGTGTGTGATTAAATCAGGTGTGGTAGTGCACAACTGTGATCTCAGTTCTGCATCTTCTAGTGTGTGACAGGAGCATAAATGAACTAAAGGTAGTGATCATACATAGAATTAGTAATACATATTGTAGTTGGTGACAAACTAAGAGACACTAAATTCTGGGCCTGCCTCAGGTGTGAGGCAGGAGGATGGCAAGTTTGAGACCAACCTGGGCTACATAGTGAGGATCTTAGAAAAGCAAGAGCTAAGCCGGACGGTGGTGGCGCACGCCTTTAATCCCAGCACTTGGGAGGCAGAGCCAGGTGGATCTCTGTGAGTTTGAGGCCAGCCTGGGCTACCAAGTGAGTCCCAGGGAAGGCGCAAAGCTACACAGTGAAACCCTGTCTCAAAAAACC